AAACACAGAAAATGTTGTCTGTGTTGGGCATGTAACATATGTTTTTTCCGCTGAACACGAATCTCATATCAAAATTGAGTGCCAAACTGCAAAAACATTAAGAAAAATAAAAATAATTTCTCACCGTGATGATCAAAATCTCCTAATTTATATCATTATCTGATCCTTCTCTTCTTCAATGACCTGTGCAACATTTTTTTTTATTTCTGTTGAGTACTTTTTTGTAGCATTCAGCAGTATTTTGCAAAAATATTTACTCCCCTAGTTAGTCTGCAAACATATTTGCAGATACTATGACTATAGAATCGTGTTTGGTGGGAAAAAATACATTGAACAATGTTTGTTACACACTCAACACATACTTTTTTTGTGGACCTATGTTATTATTACATTATTAACTTCCCGTAGGGTAAGTTATTGTAATGGACCAAATTTCCAGTCACGTATTCGGGCGCACGGATCAACCGATTTGAATGGTTCAAAAAACATTCGATTCCTATTGATGGGAAATGAACTGATTAGTTTTTGGCAAAGGCAGGTCCAGCAGTTACGGAGATAAAGAGCAAAAAGTGCAGAAAATAGAAATCGAGTTTTTGAGAGAACGGAGCATCCGATTTGAATGTTCAATTAGTAATGATTGTGAGAGATGTTTATCAGATTTTGGCAAAGGCATGCCCAGCCATTTCGAAGATACGGAGCCAAATGCGCAAAAAATGGCAGTTTTTGAGAGAACTAAGCGTCCGATTTAAATGATTCAAAGAAATTTTTGCCAGTCTTAACAAAATAATTGATTTTTTTTTTTTAAATTGTGTATATCGAAAATAATTCAGATTTTATTTTTAATTCTGGCTACAGTTCTAATATACTATAAATATAATATCCTATAAATATTAAACAATGTTACAATATTAATAATAATCTATTTCAAAACATTCAGTATTCCTCGAACATTTCGTAAGGTTACAGGAAGTTCCAGCAATTTGCCTTAAGACACGATGCCATACACCCAACTAGTTTCTAATATTGTAATTAATTAATTAACAAATACAATAAAACTCTTCGGATATTTAAGCTGTTTTTTTTAATAATAAATCAAGAAATTCTAAATAAAATTCAATTTTATTTAAAGTTTAATAATATATCAGAGGCACATAATAAATGAGACTGTCGGGTTCACAAACGGGTTCAAGATATCTAATTCGTCACCAACATCAACTTTGACTAGAAAACAACTAATTGATGCATTGAACTGGACAATTTCCGTAAATTAAATACGTGTTTCATCATTCACTTCTATTTATAAAAGTTTAATTTTTTGTCTACAATATTCCACTAAAAAAGTCAACCAGTTCTACGTTTATTGACCAAAAATTCCATGCGCATCAAATCATATCGACTGCGACATTGATCGGGTCGATATGTATGACACGATCCAGATTAGCGATCAGTTCCCGATTTGCATAAAAGATGTTTTTTTTATAAATCTATCGTCAAGAATGAGTGATGATGTTGCTCTGTTTGACATGAGGTAAAAGTTACGAAATTAAATCGCGTGACCTCTGCTGGTGATCTCGCGTCGAATCTCCTGTCAATAACATCCGGCAGTGTCTTGCAATCCGTCGCAGCTCGACATATGCGGAGAGTAAGTGGCCCACTCGTTTGGGTAATAAACACATTAAAAAAGACTCTTTCTAATGGGTAATCAGTCATTGCGCTGTACAGGCGATTATTGAGAAATCCAATTTGCATAATTTATGAATTTGTTATATTGTTTGCCGTATTGGAAAACTGGTCGCGCTTTGTAGATTACGTTCATGACCACATATATTAAATGACTTCGCCAAATACGGTTGCAAGTAATCAACCGATGATTTGTGTATTTTTGTAAACTATCGTATATCATCCAGAACAAGAAAGTGAGAATGTAGTACCTACACAAATATTTTTTCAAATCAAGATGATATTACGATCTACAACTTTATTATTATATATAGATGTACTAATTGTACGGTACATTTAACCCTCTGTCGGGCGCAGCCGATATGACAGATTTAGGGCGAACATTTTAGTATACTTATCTATGATGTGATGTCTTGGAGACCTCCAGATCTCAGTTGCCAGTTATTTTATGTATGTTATATATTCTCCCACATTAGATTGTCTTTTGGACGTTGCATACTTTGCCAAAGTAGCAATTTTGTTCCAAGAAATGCACTATCCTAACTTTTCATATAGTCTTTGTATAAACATTCCAACAGAATCTGCCAATTTATTTTATATAATTAATCAAGTTTTTCATTTCAGAAAAAATAAGGTTTGTGCGTCAAGCATTTTGAGCGTATGTATAAAAATAATATTGATCTAATACATATATTGTTTTTATTTACACATAATATACATATTCAAAAATTGTAAAAACACTAATTAAATAAAAATATATAAAGCTATAAGCCTCCTGTGAATATACCTTAAATCTGTATCTGTCAGATACACTTCACCCGACGGAGCGCAGTTTAAAATGTACGACGGAAAAATGTAATATAATTTTCAATATATGTTTTACTTTAAGCACAAGAATTGTGTATTCTAATATGATCCCAACAAATTTTCATTATTTTTTGTTGATCACATACAATTGAATCTATTATTTGAAAGGGATATATATATATAATACTCATGTTGTAAAATGGCCAGAAATCAGAGTATACTCTTCTATAGTATATCTAGTATCCTTATCTTGACTTGACAGAAATGCTGGCAAAATGACTCATTGGCCTTACTCAAAAATTCATAGTATTAGTAACGTCTGCGACGTGGGGCCTCATTGTTACAGTCTTGTCAAAGTAGGCAGTTCAACGTGCATCGCGCCTTTAAAAGATTAGTTTGAGGGTGGTTTTGTCATGCTTTTTTGGTCTTACTCAATGAACTTGTGCTAGTACTAGTGATTTCGAAAAATTTTATTGTAATTCTCGGGTGTTAGGTAAAATTTTAATTATTTATTCATTTTCATTCACTTTCGGAAAATATGACATACTTTTACAATGGTCAAAATGACATGATTTTATTTTACAAGAACTACGGGTTAGTTCATTCGAGGCTAAGAAAAAAGAATATTGAATCTTGCCAAAGGTGGCTTTTAACCTATGTAGGTTGTACTCCTGAATACAGGCAGAAGGATCCACTAGTAAAATAAAGATACTTACATTTGGTGGTCTTTACTTTTGTTGCTAAAACCTATTCCACGTTATGAGCTCGATAAAGATTGTTTGCTATGTATTATTAACTTCCCGTAGGGTAAGTTATTGTAATCGTCCAAAAATCGAAATTGAAAATTTTTCTCGACGTTTTGAAGGTTTCTGGACATTTTGACATACCTCAGAAAAAATGGATGTGTTTTTTTTTTGGTAAAGCGAAGGAAATGCCTTTATGCATTCCAGATTGGTCTTCTGTCTGGGTATGTCGGACTTGATGCAAAGGCAGGTCCAGCCGTTCGGGAGATACGGATCAAAGAGTGCAGAAAATAGAAATCGAATTTTTGAGAGAACGGATCATCCGATTTGTGTGATCCAAAAAACATTTAGTTTGTAATGACGGGGAAAAGTTATTAGTTTTTGGCAATGGTAGGCCCAGCGGTTTCGAAGACACAGAGCTAAATGTTAATAAATGGCAGTTTTTGAGAGAACTAAGCGTCTCATTTAAATGATTCAAAGAACTTTCTGCTTGTCTTAACAAAATAATTGATTTTGGAAAAAAAGATTTTTTATTTCAACTTTTTTCAAAAAAAAATTTTTTATATGTCGAAAATAATGCAGATTTTATTTTTAACTCTGACTAAAGTTCTAATATACTTTGAACAAATAATTTCAACTTTGCAATTCAGTTTATATAATTCTTATAAATATTAGACAATGTTACAATATTTATAATAATCTATTTGAAAACATTCTGTATTCCTCGAACATTTCGGTACGGTACGGGAAGTTCCAGCAATTTGCCTTAAGGCACGATGCCATACACCCCACTAGTTTATTTTATTTGGATACATGCAATATCTGTCGATGTTTCAAAGAGGAATAAACGATTTATTTGTGAACTTAAATATATGAAATGAAATGAAATATGGCCTTGCATTATTTGTCTTTCTGTCCTTACTACATGGAAAACATGATTTTTGTGATTAGTTGCATTAGTTGCAAATATGTTATAAAAGTCACGTCTTATTTAAAAAACTATGTTACTGATAGTCAATTAATCTGTGATACATAAACTGTTTTTGAGACTGTTTATAATATCATTTAATAAATAATATTTTTTATTATTTTTTTTTAGAAATCTTGTTTATAAACAATAAGCACATACTACTTACAATAGATATTTCACAAATTAACTAAAAAATAGTAACAATACTGAGAACATTATAATGAAAATAACAAAACAAAAGAAATAAAATTAATCAGATATAGATAGCTAAACAAAAGTATTTAGGATTAACTGGACTAGATGAGGTCTTATGGCAATTTCTTTTTAATCTAGTGGCCATCCAGGTATGCTCTACAGGCCAACAGATAAATAAATATCTTTTCAAAAATGAACAGATGTCATGTTATTTTGTATACCTCTATGAATAAATTTTTTAAAAAATATTGATTAAATTTATTGAACCTCATAATTCTGGCATTATGTCTAGATAAAGTTTTCTAAGCTTAAGACTCGTTTAGAGTTTTTTTTACACAATTAATTTCTCAAGTTTGTTATCCAATGAATAAAATTCTAATTTAATTCAATATATAATTTTATCACGATTTGTAAAATATATTCCAATACATTTTTTTAAGACTCACGGCTCTCTTGGTAGAAGCAATTTAATCAATGCAACATCTACCTCATTAAAGTGTTATACGTCAACTAACATAAATATGCCGAAGATACAAAAGTCTCATCTTTTCAATCATAAGAAACTGTCCTTTTCATCTGTCAATGCAATTTATCTATGGTTTCAGCGCAAGCCTAGATGATCTGATTGCGCGCTTCCGCGTACTTGACGAAGCCCGACAAGGTCTGGTCAGTGCGGCCGTCGCAGAAGGGCACTACTGTAAATCGGGGGACGAGAGTTACCCGCAGGTTGTTGAAAGGCCAAAAACATGTCAAAATCGGTCGACTAATTCGTCTGTAGTAAAATCATTCGGAAAAAAGAAGCCTTACTCACAAGTTCTTCGAAACTCAATGCCGGAAAATAGTGGAAGGAAGAAAGTAAAACCGCGTGCGACTACAAGGTAAATACATATTTATCTTTCATATGTATATATATATATATATTCAATAGATAAGTCCTGGATTTTTTCAATATATTGATTGTTTCTTTTCCGAACAGTAAATCCAATAATAAAAAACAATTTGTTTTTTGAAGATGTTTAATACGACGTTTCGGAACTAGGTACGTTCCATCATCAGGTTTATTCTGTCAAATACAATGTTTTTTAAAATACTGATTAACATTAATTAACAATGGTCAATACAGATTAATTAGAAAAAAATTTTGTTATAAAGGAATGGATTATGTACCGGATAGATAGTAATAAGACTTAACTAAAAAGGTTTTATATAAAATTGAGAAGCAAAAATTATTTACCTGTAATAATTTATATATCCATATCACTAATATTTTTTTGTTAAAAACACTCGATTTTTTTGGAAGATATTTGTAGATGTTACGACTACACAAGACTTAAACACACTGATATGGATTTCTGTCTGCCAGATGTAAAGGACAAAGCACGGAACTCTTGGCAAAAATGATTTTTTATGGCTCTTGTTTGGTAATTTACGAAAAAAGGAAAAATATTGCTTTAGTAAATGTTGAGAAATATTATGTATATATATATATATACATATATATATATATATATATATACATACATACATGAACATGTATATGCACACCTACATACTCATACATACATATGCACATACCTATATATTAATGTATCCACAATTATACACATGAACACATATGCAAGTGTATGTGTATAGTGTATACCCAAAAACATACATATAAGCATATATATGGATGTACATATATTATAACATATATACATGTATATATATACACATATTCAAAAACTATTAGGATTAATTATTTTTAATCAGGTTTAAAAAATTTAAATATGAGTCATGAATGATATTGTGATCTGATCTTTTATTAACACTTTTTGACGAATTCAAAAAGATTAAACTGCTTTCAGAAAAAAGTCTTTTAAAAGTACAATCCTCTCTATATAAAATATTGGGTTCAAAGGTGAAATTATGTGAGTTTTCGATGGAATGCTGAACAAGAGTACTTTGGAAATTTCGGCTTTTATGATGAGTGACGCTTAATTCATGTTGTCTCATTCTCTTATGAATGTACTGTGATGTTTGGCCAATGTATTGTTTTTGACAATTTTTGCAAGGGATGGAATAACTATGTTAGTATTGAATTTAGGAGGGGTGGTGGATTTAATTTTTGAAAACATTTCTTTAAAAGAATATAGAGCTGTTCCTGAAATGAAAATATTTTCTTCTTTGAGTAATTTGGCAAAATAATCAAATAAGCCTTCAATGTAAGGCATGCTGTGAAAAGTTGGTTTAATATTGTTGTCTTGGAATAACTTGGAGATGGATTGATAATTGTTACTTTTATGATAGGAAAGTCTTTTATTTGGTAATGGAATTGATGAGGGTGAGGGGATATCCGTTTTCTAAATAGTTTTAGTTACTAATGTTGTGTTTTGGGTATGAAAAGAAGAGTGAGACAACATGATTGCGTGGTCTATCAAAGAAATGATTGTATTGACTTTATAATTTTTGGGACAATATGACGCGTAATGAAGGTATCTCCCGGACCATGTAGTTTTTCTGTACCAATTTGTGCAAATAATGTTGTCAATTTTGTGTACAGTCACGTCTAAAAAGTTTAATTTGTTGTCGATTTGTGTTTCATGTGTGAACTGAATGCTCTTATTGTAATTGTTAAAGGTTATCGATTATTATATCTGATTGTTCTTTGTCTATTATAAAAAAAGTGTCATCTACATATCTAACGTAAAAATATATTTGGAAATTTAATGTGAGAAAACGGAAATTTCAAGGGTTGTAAAAACTAGGTCTATGATGCCAGGGGATAATGGGCAACCCATAGCAGTACCTTTGATTTGTAGATAAAACCAATTGAAACAAGTTAAAATAAGAGCAATTCAGGACAGTGTTAATGATGTGTTTGAAAGTGGTTATGGGCAAGTCGGTGTAGTTAAATAGTGGGCCAGCGTTTTTTCAATTGAATCAAGTATTAAAATCATGGGGAACACATGTGAAAAGGTTAATACATCCAGGCTTAGAAAAATTTGATCGTCCGT